AAGTCAAAGGTGGCCATTTGGAATAGCATATTTTTTTACTTTTTGCTGAGACTTTAATAAATATGTAGGTATAAATTTTAGTAATATTACATTACTTCATAAAAAATGTATTTTAATTTGTAACAGAACTTATGGCTGAAATATATATAGGTAATGGATTGGTCACATAGCTCGAAAAGCCAAAAACAAACAGGGGACAAAGTTTCTTTTTTGGCGACACTGTACAGTCAACAGGACGAACTCCATTGGATGGAGCGACGGCCTCAAATACATTGTTGGAAGCTAGTGGATTAATACATTCAATATATATATTAATCCGCATGAAAACTAGTTTATGTTCTTCTTTATCTCCAATATTGCGGGTATGCCAAATTTTACAACTCTTGGTTAAACGGTGAAGTAAACACCAAGAGATATAAAGTAAATTTCACTCACATTTATATTATTGGTAAGGATGTTTAATTTCGATAGTATCAAGCTATATAAAAAATTAGGTTTAGCAAAAACAGCGACTTTAATCGTAATATTCATATCTATAGGACGGTTAACACTTTCCATCAGATGAGCTGTTAGCTTGTTTGTTATTCCAAGTGAAATAAAAATAAATTAATATGGAATCTACATATTTGCAGACACTAATGTTTGAGTAAGGGGGGAAGGGATTGTTAATAATGGAGAGTAGGGGTTCCATTGCTAGCAATATACCCAACCAGGTCGACCTCCACGTGGTCTTCCTTGGTAACCATCGTGCTGAAAACCAGGTAGAGGACAAGTGGTAGGCGACTTTATCGATGGAATCAACATCGCTGGTGAGTTCGTGAGACAGAATGAGATAGCAGTGTCGGATATCTCTTTCTAACTCACGGAGTCGTTACCGAATTTTATTCTATCGACGAATTCGCTTGCCACTTGTCTAGAGGGTAAAGTGTATTTTCATCACATTACAGGCTAACTGGCCTAACTTTTTGTCCTCACCTATCACCACTCATTGGTACCCTGCCAGTGTATACCCAAAGCGCAGGTGAGGTTACCATTCCATCAGTACCCATAAAAAAAAGAGAAAACATTTATCAAGATCTGTTCAGAATTGTCGACGATATCACATAATGAAAAAACAAAGTCGAATCGGAACTTCCTTTTGGGAATTTCTTGACATTATATGTATATTTGTAAAAGTCAAGGCGGTGTAAAAGACAAGTTAAAACGACAACCGTTCAGTGTTTGCTTTTAAAGTTAACGAGGCGAGAGAATACTGACAAGCGATTATTTCTGGCAATCCCATTTGTCGTCAAGATGTTTGTTTTTCCGCACCACAGATTATGTACTTCATTATGTACTCTTATTATTATGTACTCGTCTATTTGAATTACTTTTTCTAATGTCAACATTTTTGGCGCGAAAAAATGGTATTTATTTTTTCTTTTAATAACTCTGTAGTGTATTCCAATGATTATTTTTGACGTGATTTATAATAAATGAGGGTTTTTTGTTTTGTATTTTATATGGGAATCTATTTAGAAAATTTTGAATCCGAAATGAGCATTTATAATATTTTACTTTCCATTCGTCTTTAAATTCCCATGGGATATCAAAACCGAAGACGAACAAAAAATATGCTAACAAATTTGTTTCTTAATGGAATTTGCGTGAAGATTTATATTCATTATACTTAGAATAAATTACTCGGTTATTCTATATGAGTCATAGATTATTTCATTTGTTCTTTTAATATAGTTAATTGTTTGTTATAGTAATATTTATGTATTTATTTATGTATGATAATATATTTATTTATTTATTATATGTATGTTTATATTAGTCTAATTATATGTTTATAATATATGAATATATTAAGTATTAATTTTTACATTACTTCGATTCAATAATACACCGCCTAATTATCTCTCGGTTTGCCCAATGGTTGACTGGTAGAGATCACTGTTCGGTTTTAAGTTTGCCATATGTACACAGTTTCCGTGTGTATTAAAGTTTCAATAAAAAAAAATATTTATAAATTTTATAAATGCAAATATATTAAGTGAAATTGAAGTCCTTATGATAGAGACATGGGCAGCAGCGTCCTTCTTAAAACATATGTAAAAGTCTAACTGCGGTTGCCAACCCGCCTGCCAAGCGTGGCAACTGGCAAAACTCCCCTTATGGGGAAGGCTTATGTTCAGCAGAGGACAGTTAACACCTGAAATAAAAATAATATAACTGAATACTTTATTTTATATAAATAGAAAAATAACAAAAAATGCTTGAAGGTGTTAAGTCTGCCATATGCATCAATATTGTGTATACGTTTGCGATAAAGATTAAACGAATAAATAAATTTTTAGCCTCCATAGTTTACGAGTAATATTTATTTTTGTTGCATTTGTTTTGTTTGGTTGTTCTGAATAGAAGAGTACAAAAAGGACATGAAAGATAGGTAAACGGAGGGACGTACTGTTTCAAGTAAGATCACAGAAAATTTTCCAACAGTATGATATGGGAACTCGACTAAATATTATAATTATTACATAATGGAATACCTGACCTGTAAAATTAACAGTTAGGAAGCTTTCATTATGTAATTACATTGTATGAAAGTATGTAGAGCGAAAGATAAAACGTGATATATTTCCAGGGATTTGCCCTCTAGCGCCCTCTTTGATAGCGTGCAATAGCATGGCATAATTAAACATATCAACATAAGAACTTGATCCTTCGAGCCGGATTTCAATCTTTGAGTCGTTGCTTTTATTTCAAATTAAACTGGTAGAAAAGAAAATGCTTTTATGTAGCAAAAAAGCGATACTTGCAGTATATTGATTTATTTACATCAGAGGAAAAATAAAAACAACATAATTATATATTGAGCGAATATTTGGTACAAAATATATCAACATAAGGACTCAGTCCTTCGAGTCGGATATCAAAGGTTGAAACGCTGCTTTTATTTGAAATTAAATTGAGAAGAAAATGCGGTAACATGAAGACAATACTATACGAGTACATGCAGTATATTGACATCTAACAATATTTGAGAACAATAACAGCAACATAATTGTATATTAAGAAGATATTTGGCTTTAGTATAATAAGCAACATATATAAGGTTCCATTTATGTTTGGTATGAAGCCGTTCATCATTACTATATCACCATTATCATCATATCAGCCCTTAACCATCCACTGCTGAACATAAGCTTCAAATAAGAGTCAAATTGTTTTGTTTACAGTATTTGGCCAATTTTTGGTGGCGACTTTGTACAAAAGTCGATTGCTTGGGTACCTCTGTCCCATTAGTGTTTCAACCGTGAAGCAGTTGTGTTTGCATGGCTGTGTTTCGGTTTGAGGGGTGGGATATGGCGTGAACTTACTGGGTACAGAGGAATAACACCTCAGTCCTCAGAAATGGCAACGCATGGAGGGTATCATGGGCGAAACAGTATACTCTGTTATGTCCATGGTGCTGATCATGTCTATAGGCGACGGTTACCACTTTTCATCGGGTGGGCTGTCAGCCATTTGTGTTTGCCATTCTAAGTTGTATAAAAAAAAAACTAAGCGGAAGTGGTGAGTGGAAAATGTAAAATAATTCTAAGCAAGTAATCAGTTATGTGGAAATCTGGAAAATAGTGCCTAACTAAATACATAATATGGTACTACACATATACAATGCACATAATTATATATATAAGCTATAATAAACATATGAAACTAATTATAAGTATTTATTTACTATACCTTTATGTGGTGAATTCTTTATTTTGTATATAATTATTTTTATTAATAAATAAATATTAATATAAAAATGCATTCATACTAAGTAATATTATAAATGTAAAATCAAACAATAAATATATACTCGTATAAAATATAATGACGTTTTGATAATTTTATTCATTATAACCAACCCAAGCATTTTCTAGTGTGACAGACACGGCGTTACAAAATTGCGTTTAAAAAAAAAACATTGTTATAAAATAAATCAAGATACCTCCTTATTTCCAATTCGTTTAATTACGTCGTTGAGTCTCCTTTCCCTTAGAATATAAAGACGCCTTTCTGTTTTTTGTCTATTTATGTGATTCTCTTATTTATTCCGTTTATTCACTTTACAAGAAAAAATTGTACTCTCCTTATTCTCTTCCTGGCATTATAACCGTTTTTTTTTTATATTAAATATATAAAATAAACGAATTGTTTCGAATAGACGAAAATTTTCTTTTCTTGACGAATAGTAAAATTCAATTTATTGTATCATGAAAATCATTATAGCTGAAATAATTATAATGAATAATGTTATTTATATATTGCAAATATTTATATATTATAGATTTATATATTATGTTATGAACACAATTTAATACGCGACTGATAAGCGAGGTGTAATCCAGTCGAAAGCTTCTTAGAGAATAAGCGAAGTGTGCAAAACACTGTGGTTATATATTGTTATGTCCATTAATATTCATCGCTAAAATTAGATGTAGGTTACTGTGTTCACTTAAATATGCATATTTGTATGAGTGGGTTTTACTTGCTATTATCTTGTCAGTTCACATTATATATGTTACGTGCGTAAGAGTAACAATTTCACATTCAGTTACTTTTACAAGCTTTGAAATTTACGTGGGTTATATTGTCATGTGTTTTTAAAATTATTATGAAAATCCATTGATGTACAAAAGATCTAAGATAATGAGATAATAAAGCAACTATGAAAATAGAGCGCATACCAAGAAAATATTTTAATTTTGTAAAAATATGATGTTTAGACATGTAGTTTCGTATTTTTTGCTATTTGACTTTCTTCTTTGCACGATTACTATAAAATGTCAAAATGGTTCACTGGTAATACTTTTCATTCTAAGTTTCGTATGGCTATGGGAATCTTGTGTATTTTATATATCGATGTTAAAGTCTAATAGTAAATTTTTATAGGTAATATTAATTTGAACACTAGAATATTAATAAGCCATTCACAGTATAAAATCAGGTGTGTAGCAGCACTTAGGATATTCAGACTTGACTCATTGTAGTATACACAAATCACCTAACTTACAAAATCATGAAACTACAAACTTTCTTCTACGCTTTCATCATCATCATCGTATCATTGGCGTCAACAAATTCAATGGTGACTTCATCACATCAATATTTCTGTGGCAGAAGAATACCAGAAACTCTGGCGTTGTTTTGTCCATTTGAGGAGCATTTGAAAAGGTCTCTTAATGGTTTTACGGATAACATCGAGCGACATGACTGGCCCTGGCCGGCTGTTCCGAAGACCAAAGCTTTGGAAGGGATGAGGAGCAAGAGGCAAGGAGTGGCCGCAGAATGTTGTGATCAGCCGTGTGCATTATCCGAATTGCTGAGTTACTGTTAAGATACATAATAAGAATATTTCTTTTGAAGCACTTCCGCTGTTTCGTATTTCGGAATAGACAAAAAGACTTATAATTTATATTGAATTTGAATAAAGTTGTGGCATATTTTCATTGAGTTTGGTCTTGTTATTATAATTGCTTCATTTGATAGGAAAAAAAATTACACCTTTGCAAAATATCAGTTTTGCATTAAGAGAAATAATACATAAGGTGAATATAATTATAATTGAACGATAAGAATCAAGATTTGTTAAATTAAATTGTTAGATCTTTTGTTGCTTAATTTGTATTAGCGACCCTGTCCTGGGGTATCATACAGTTTTTTCTTAAATATATTTCAGCATATGTTACTCGCTGATAATGTATCTTTTTACAGGTGAAGAATATTCGAAATCGATTAACTATTTTTTGAATTTATCCACTACAAACAAAAGATATATCAAAAATATATATATATATATATATATATATATATATATATATATATATATATATATATATATATATATATTTGATAATGATGCTGAATTGATTTCAGCACCGTTTTAATTTTATTATATAAACTAAAAAAAATCTGAATTAGAAATCAGTTCAGTGGCTTAATAGTTGAACGTATTATCTTACAAATTGTGCAAAAATACTCAGTGTACGTGTATGTGCTTAGCTCATTCATATACATATATCTCTCTCTCTTCAGTCGTACACTCTTGACAGAGTGGTCGTGGTTTTAACAATGACAGTGGATCGTCGACGAGGCTTCTCCTTCGCGATTGAGGTCCTCGCAATATGTCTCTATCTACTTCTGTTCACAGCCGAGTGAGAGCATTCCACAATAGACTGCTGTGTGGCCATATTGATGAGGTCGGTCCATCGCATTGGTGATCTACCCCGAGAACGTATATCTATCTCTATCTATCTATCTAGGCATATCTAGGTATATCTAGGCATTAAATATTTGTAGTTGAATCCTACACTTAAAATATCTTTTAAGTACCTATTTGAATAACATTGTTCATATACTATAGATTAAATCAAGTACATACAGGTAGGTTTATCTTATATGAATCGTGCTTTTACTTATAAAGCACTATTCAGGAAGTACTTATTATTAACCTAGAATTAACATAATCTAAAACCTAATTTCCTTTGGAATATAATATGTAAACTCGAGATGTATAAATCCTATATAAAATGAAACTTATTCGATAAAAAATGATCATTAAAATCAGTTCTCAATTGGTAAATATATTGCGTAATACACGAAAAATAAATTTCAAAACTTCCATTTTTGAAGCCTGTTGAAATTGCAGAATTTCATAAGGTACACTTATTACTTGGGTACGGAACCTCAATAAAAGTTTATAACTTTTAATCCGTGATGGTCAACAATTTGGGTTAAGCTGAGTCGGCTATAATCGGCTGAATGTTGATTGGGTCAGATGTTATTGTTATTTCAAGTGATTGCTTCAGGTAAGATTGCCTTACAAACAATCGATTGATATCATTTGATTAATATGAAATCTCCATAAATAATAAGACATATATAAGTCAACCTAACAATTATTTAAGAGTACCCATTAATATATTTTCAAATAGACGATTTAGTAAAAAAGTGAAACAAAATTATTTTAGAGTGGACAGTTTTATTCATGATTGGACACTTGAAAAATTACTACATAATTGTAAATTGACATAGTAATATTATTTAAACAGATAGATACATTTCCCAAATAGTTTTGTTTAAGCATTTATTGATTTTATTAAGATAAATATTTCCCTTGCACAGACATTGTGCAGTTACAATTTTATTATATTAGTAAGTCAGTAATATAAAATATAGAATTCAAGAAAACTTGAAGTGATTCTTCATAAAAATGTAAAAGGGAATTTCTACAATGCGTTTCCTCTCCAGCTGTCGCATAAGATAAATTAGTTTCCGGTGTAAAAACACCGGTTAGGTTAATTTAATTCAAAAAAATAAAAATGAGAATTTCTTTTGAATATTTATTATCTGATAGAAATAGATATTCCCGCGGCTTTGCTTGCATGTAGAATAAAATATTTTATTAATATTATATCATTAGGTAGTGTATATTGTTAAAGAGTGTCAAATGAAGTTGCTGTCGTCGTCTGTCTATTTCTCCACTTACTCCTCCTAAACCGCGCAACAGATTTTGATTAATTAATTATATTTTTTGTGCAAGTTTTATATTAAACTTTTGTATAAGTAGCGTAGTTTCATCATATCTTAGATTAGCAGTTTTCATAATTATGGTGTTCGAGCATTTCACTTTAAATAAATTTATGGTACTTTAAATATCATAATATTAATAAGGAACCAGTATAAACATTCTATACTCTACTTATTTGCAAAAATAATTATTAAAATCAGTAAAAAACTGATCAAGATATCGCGAAACATGCCTACAATAAAAACTCCTCCATTAAATTTGGAAATTGCTTAAAATATAATTCGTGAACAAAATCTTTAGCCTAATTATTTATAAAACAACAACGATTGACTATATTATATATTTACTATTTTTTTTCGATATTTTTCAGAGTTTATTATGTAGTCAATTTACTAGAGTGGATACAACCAATGAATCGGATGATAGACTATGGCAGCGTATAAAATTTTTTAACGATATTCCAGCAAAATATTTTTAACGTTCAAGCTAAAGGGATACTGCGCGATGAGCAAACAACCTGCTTACTTTATTGTAAAAACGATAAAAATTTTAAAGTGCAAATACGTGGATATGTATGTTAAATCGATTCTTGGAACTTTAGATTGTACAAACATCCCTTTATAGAGTGATATTTAAATTATTACGAAAAACGAGAAAACTTTTAATTAAAGTTCGCGTCGTTTTAATATGACAACTCAAAATTCTTTGTTGTTTTTCAGATAATATTGTTCATTTTCACTGACCGTATTATTTAAAAAATAGACGCTAATTTTTAGTGACCCAATTAGTAAAATGTGGGACAATGAGTGGGTAGAAGAAAATGTTTCTGCCTCGGAAGCGGAGACATGAAGGCGCTACATCAGTCTACTCGTGACCACGGCTGACATAACTTGGTCGAAACGTCGAGATTCAAGTAAATTTATCATAGTTTATCTAAATAATCGAATTAATTCCCGTCTCATATAAAACATAAAATATACAGCGCTAAAATAAAAAAGTTAATATAGACGGTAATCACTTCTGTTACTCTTTGTACAATGACTCCTGATGATAGTAAAAACAAACAAAATATATATCCTTATGATTGGGATCTTTGATAGAATTCTTGAACCTAAATAACGATTATTATTAGAACTGAACGTGATATACGAGACACACGTCACAATCGCGTACGAATTTTTCATCGTTACTTGTTATGGGACCGTTTTAATAAACGAACAGGTAATTTTTAAATGACTTCAAAAATGAAGAAGTTATTAAATCGCCTGTATTTTTATTACAAATCTTATGGCCATTGTCAAAATAAAATAACGATTCGTATTAATTTACGATTCGTAAATGTGTGAATGAAGCCAGTTTGAAGATGTGTATACGGTGTGAATGAGACCCATGTGACATGTGAGGTCATGTCAAAATTTAATTTAATCCTACCTAGAAAATGTGTAACAACATGTTATTGTACAATAAATACATGCTCATTAATATGTAAATCCTCGATTAGAAGTGTGTAGGTACGTGAAAATGACATCTTCCTTAGCAACTTACATTCAATGGCCACAGGATCTGATTATAAAGACATATGACAGGATAACCCACGCCGTATACGATATTGTCACATGTCCTTAAAATAATTATGAAAATGTGCTTAATACGTAATGAAATTTAAATATGTATTAGAATATTAATAAGCAGCTTTCAGTATAAAATAAGTGACGTCGCCTCTCGAAGCACATTCGGAGTCGACTTGTTGCGCTATAAGGACCTTTGCTGACAGTCTTTTTAATCATGAAAGTCAATATTCTCATCTATGTGTTTGTCGTCATCGTATCATTCGCGTCGATAAACTCGATGGTGACGGTACCAGTAAAACAATTCTGCGGCAGAAAATTATCAGACGCACTGGCTTTCTTATGCCCATACCAAGATCACGTGAAAAGGACTTACGACGGCTTCTCGAACGATATCGAAAATGATTGGTCCTGGTTGGGTCTACCGAAGATAAGAGCTTTGGACGGTGTGAGGGGCAAGAGGCAAGGAGTGGCATCAGAGTGCTGTTTGAAGCCTTGCTCGATATCGGAATTAATGACATACTGTTAGACGATGCAAGAATACTATTTTAAGCAGATCTTATAGATCATAATGGTATATGTTTGTTGGTGTCTTTATATCTTAACAAGAATCTACCATGTTTTCAAGTACAAAATTAATGGACTTTTAAAGAATGAATTTTTGATCTTTTTTTTTAATTTGTTTCCTGTAAACGAAGAATCGTCAATGAAAATGTCATAGTTTTGACTTAACAGTGAAGACTCAGTTAGCCAAGTCAGGGTTACTTTTTTATAAAACTAGTATAGAGTAGATACTTAGTTTTAAAATACTTAGTTTAAGATTTACTGACATGTGACCGATATGAACATGATGATTAAAGAAATGGTGTTAAATAAATGGTTGATGGTTTCATGATGAATTAACTTCTTTATTGATTTCCTAAGCGCTAAGTGAATATCAATTTGTCTATATTTTATTGTTATATAACTCTATATTATGTTAATCATAAGTTTTAACGTTATTTGTCTGTCCATAAGACAATTCTTTTTTTTTTCTAACTGATTCTTTTTCTTTCTGTTTTTATTCTGTGTTTCTCTTTTTTCTCGTTTTTTTTTTATTATACTTCTCATATATATTTAGTAAAAAGCAAATTCTTGGTTCATCAATTGTTTGCTTCTCTCGCATACTGTCTCTTTATTCTAATTTTTCACTATACAATATCGCTCTAAAAAAATAGTAAAATCTGAAATTTATTTTAATAAATGGCTTGCTTTGACTTAGATACTCTTAACTGGTTTTTTCTGTTTTTATACTTTTATGTGCTTTCATAAGCCGATTTAATACCAGCCATCTCAAAAGCCAGCTCCCATTAAAAACCATTGTTTCCAAAGTACACCGCAGTGGAAACATTTTCCAAAGATTAATCAATGTTGTCTACTTTGAAAAACCAGGGAATGGTTTGAATCGTTTTCATCCTCGAATAAAGTAAATTACTTGCAAAGTAAATTTGTTATAAATATGTTTTAATAGACGTTTATCAAGGAAAATATATTTAAGTGTATTCTAAAAGAAAGAGGTATATTTGGATACAGTCATAATCAATATCGTAAACTATTGTTTGAAATTACTTGAATAATCTAATGTTTAAAAGCTTTTAATTTAACTTTTGTTTTTGATTTATCTTTCTTTTGTTTCTTTTTGTGTTTTTTTAATTTTTATCATAAACTATTGTTGGAATTTTAACGTAACATTTTTTCCTTTTTTGCAACCGAATGGCTTTGTTATAGTCGTATTTATTACTAAATCATGCTGTTTGTTCTGTTATGTGCGTCAAGTAAATAAGATAAATTCCCCTTAACTTTTTTTACTATGTTATGCGATTACGTTATGCCAATTCTTAACTAATTTTGATAATAAGTTATGCTTTTGATACAGTTTACTTGTGTGGTGATCTCTAAATAATCAGTTGTATTTTTTTCAATTTGTGTTTTGTTCTCTCAAAAATATTTACTTGACATGTATAACATATGTATTAATCCGGTCCACTACAAGTAATATAATATTAATCCTGAAAACCTAAAATTATTCCTTTATTACAGGAAAATCAATCATAATTTGTTTTACTAAATAATTAAATCATTTAGTAAAACAAATTGTGAACAACTAACTCTAGTCACTCGAAGTTGGATTTTACTTAATTTACACAGACGAAGAATAGATTTTGGTAGAAATAAGTACCGAAGGGGTAGCCTTTATTATCGTTGCCTTTAGAATACCTTCTTATTTCCTGTAGTACCTACTTCTATCAACAATGACATCTTTTGTAGATTGTAAGATGGATTGAACTTCAAATTTAGGTAAAAAGTAATACAAAGTCCTTAAAGGAGAAAGCCCATTTGTATACTTCGTCTTCGTTTCACTGTTAAGATTTCTGCTTAAACAAATTCGAACACAAAAGAGAAGTAATGATAAAATTATGTAAAATAAAATAAATATTCATTTATTTTGTGGTGCTTCTTTATTATAAAAAAAATAAGAATATATTTAAAAGTAAAAATACACATTACTTCGCTAAACTAATAAATAACTAATTAAACTAACTAAACTGATTAAAACTGACTAAACTAACTAATTAAATGTTATAGTGGTAACATTAATACGGCTCACTGTGAGGATGGGAGAAACAATATTAATTGTGGTTTTTCTATCAATTTTGTTTTTGGGAAAATTCTTCAATATTAACTGTTAGACTTTCGCGTTACATTTGGCTTATAATCACGGTTGGTGTAACCTGATACAATTGTCGAGGTAGTTCAGGTGAATTATCATTGTATATCCAAATAATCGCGTTAATTCCCGTCTCTTTCAAAACATAAAATTGTTCAATTTTAATGGTGAAACTTTCCTTTAAAGGAATGGAATTACTTTTATTTAATTCTGTGTATAGTAAATTTAAAATAAATTGCTTGAATCAATTTTGAGAATGCAATAAATCAGTCGTTTCCCTCGCACCCTTACATTTTAGTATTGGCAGTTAATTTATGACCAGACGGGTGACGGTCTGGTGGACTGGGTTTCTGTTCTCCCTAAAATATGGTTGAACGCAATCATGGCTCGCCCATCTGTTATGAAGTCATGTCTTGAAAATGTCTTTTTCACCTTGACTTTTCTAGATTCTAGATTTCTCGATAAAGGCAAAATAATGTTAGCCAATTTTTTTTTAATATGACATCTAAGTAAAGATTGTCCGCAAACCATTGCTTAGCGATAAAACCTCCATTTGCATGATTTTAATTATTTACAGCAATCTTTATTTCTTTATACGTCTAGTATAAATATTATTTTAACATATATTTATTGCTTTTTATTTAAGTGCTCATAAATAATATTTTATCGTAATATATTATGTGTACATATACATACATTTAACACAGTTAACAAAATATGCTCGTGACCACAACAAACAGCTTAAGTTGAGACTTAATCGTATCGCAAGCATTCTAAACTGAATTTTAACGAGCAAATAGCGCCAAGAAAGTACGGGTGTTGCTTAAACTTTCGTCAAGTTTAGGGGTGAACAAACTGTTTATGGGCGATTTCTAAGTGGCCATTATTTAAATCCCATTTAGTGGCACGAGCTGTTTAGAGAGTAACCACTTGTTGTAATATACGTATTATATTTTGTGTCGGATACCTAACTGCGATATGTTTCATAGATGTGTGTGTTTCATATTGGTTTGTAGGTGTGCTGTGTACGCTCATATACAGAGCTACATTGATTGTACTAACATAGCGTTGCGTAATGCATATTGCACCGATTGCTTTTCCTCGCTCCTCAGTTTCCCATTAGACCATTATATAATTATACTAGCGACCCGTCCTGGCTTCGCACGGGTGCACACTACATCTCATCACATTAGAAATCTTCAAAATTATCAATGTTTCTCTACTATATTATACATATAAACCTTTCTCTTGAATCACTCAATCTATTAAAAAAAAACTGTTTCAAAATCTGTTGCGTAGTTTTAAAGATTTAAGCATACATAGGGACGGACAGACAACGACAGCGACTTCATTTTATACTATGTAGTGATATATAAAAGCCTTCAAAGTTCAAACAAATAATTTTAAACGTGATTTTTTTTTGTAATTAAGAAATAAACAATCCATCATAAGAATTTCAAACCCAATTAAACACAGGCGGCTGTGTGCTCGTTATTTCCCCGAATAAACAGATTTAAACTTAAAATGGCGAAACTTCGCGTAATCCCGATGTCGGTTATGTTATTTAGATATTTGCAAAATTACATTTTACACGCCATAAATCATAAAGTTGCTACAGTTTGTAGTTAGCTATTGTAATATAATTAGTTATTAATGTATATAAAATGGTAGAAAACAACAAAGTTTATTTAATGACTATTATTATTTTTGTTTTACGTTAGTAGTAACTTATTATATAGAAAAACCGGGGAACTTAATATGATCTACAACGTCGTCCATTAAAAGTAATAAAATGCAGTTATAAAGTAAGAAGTAGCGATTCCCATACAAAATTACCTTATAACCTAAAACTTTAAGATTAATAATATTTTAAAATTAAATATATTTAATTTTATGATTTTTCAGCAAAGTTTTAGGTGTTTTTAGATTATTTTTTTCTTTTAATCCTCTCCTCTATTATAATGAGTAAAAAAAAAAAGAACTATTCAAATCGGACAAGCCATTTTTGAGTTTTAACGATATTGATGAACAGTAGTTGATTCTTATATGTATAGATAATACATGTATATATTCCAGTAGTAAGCCTAATTTGTGAAGCTACACGCTGTTTCCCGTAGCTTTACCGGAGTGGATCATCATCGTTTTGGTGATGTTTGAAGAGAGACGCTGCTGCTCATTCCTCGATTATTAAGTTTCTCCACATTTTACAGTGATAAGCTCAATTTATGAAGTATTTTATTATCAAGCATTTTAGATAGATAAATAGGCACATTGTTGTTCTGTATTAGGTGTTCATAGACTACGGTATAGCATTTCCAGGGGCATTACCTGCACGTTTCTGACCCTGCAGAACCCTATTTATCCCTTTTTTGAAGAACCCCATGCTGTAGTCTACTGGAAAAATCTCAACAAGAATCTCATACTATAACCATATTTTCTTTGCTTAATGACTTGATTACCTTTCAATTTGTAATCTTTTAATAAAAAAATTTTGCGATAACTATCAATATTATCATATTAGTATAACTACATAAATTAAAAGGAGTATTAATGTGTTATATGTGTATTTCTTATGTATTATTATGTATATTTATTTCAGTATGTTTCTATAATTATGTCACATATTTTTCACTACATGTGCCCTTCATACGCTTTCTGTTTTTACCTAATGGTTAGCTGGTAAAGAATGCCATATGGCATTAAGCTCGCCACTTGTACAAAATTTTATTGTGCAATAAAGAATAAATAGATAAATAGCTTCAGGAATTTCCAGGAATTCCTAAGGGACGTTTAACATGAATAAGACATGATAATTGAATATACTTTATCTTCCAATTTCTCCGATTGAACGATTCATAGACAATCAAACAACTAACTTCACCCAAAAGTTCGGGAACGCGGTTTGTGATTCCGTTAAACGTGTCAGTTATAATTATGATCTAACTGGGGTAACGATTGATGATATCGACAATTGAAGGTCACTGAAGGTATACGTATCATCAATAATTTATACAAACATCAAAGTTGTTAATTTGTGTCAGCTGGTACATGGTGGAACTTGAATCCTTACTGCCTGATATTATACACTAGCATTAATCCGCGACTTCCTCTGTGTAACCAGTATATGTTTAATAAGCGTGATGAAAAATAGCCTATGTTCTTCTATATTCCATATAATACCTGTGTACTAAATTACATAGTGATTGGTTAATGTGCCAAGAGGTAACAAACAAACAAACTCACTTTGACATCCTTAATAATATTACAAATGTAAAAACGAATTAGTTTGTTATTTTATACCACCGTAACTAATTACTATAAAATTTGTTATACACCTGCTATATGGTATGGAGAGCTAGTTATTAATAAGTATAATAAGCAATTACCACTTAATTGTGGACCGAGGTATCCAAGTTCGAGGATGGGGGGAAAGGGATTGTTAGCAATGGAGTTTGACAGCCCCATTGTTAGCAATTTGCCCTATTAGGTCGACCTCCACGTGGTTTCCCCTGGAAACCATCGTGAACAATTCTTATTGAATTAGTCACGATGGGCTAACTGACCTGCTTCAACCTATCATCCTTCACTGGTGCCCCGCCGGTGTATACCGTTAGCGCGGGTGGGGTTACTATTCCATTATCATGCATTAAAAAAAAACCCAAGTTCGAAATCCATCCCTAATATCATTTTACAAATTTGTACTCGTATGATTTTATAAATAACAGTCACATTAATTGTAGTTTATAATGCAAAAAATAACTGTGTCACTATAGAAACACGAATGGGACAGAGGTAGCCATGTAGACGTCTTTTGTAGTCTACTTCTAGTAAGTTTAATTAATATACTAGTTAGTTATATTTAAGGCAATGATAACTTCTCTTTGCTATAATAACTGAAACTAATACTATAAGAACTGACATGTTTACAACTATAACTAGAGAAGTTTAATATTGCTAATATGCCTACCTAAATAAAACAATATTGAATTTGGCCATGGTTCAAATTATACGTTTCTTTTTTGTGCAACTTAGATTGGCAAACAAGCTGACGGCCCACCAGATGGAAAGTGGTAACTGTCGCCTATAAACATGAGCAGTACTATGGACATAACTGAGTGTATCGTTTCGCTCATAATAACCCCCATGCGTTGCCATTCCTGAGGACTCAGGTGTTATTCCTCTGTACCCTGTAAATTCACTGCTATATCCCATCCTTCAAACCGAAATACAGCCATGCAAACATAACTGCTTCACTTTTGTATAAAGTCTCCGTTTAATACTACATTCGTTTTGTTGCCATGTTGCGAGATATTACCTTATATCTGGTAATTTATAGTTACATGATACCGAAAGCGATATTATCAAATGCTGTTTTGGGCAAAATATTTACTATTATTATATATGTAAAAGTGATTTTGTTTGTAATCCAAAATTATTCGAAATTAACAGAGAACAGTATATTTTGGTAACGCCACATCACGCCACGAGATATCGCTATTAGCTAGCCAAAGCCGAGCCAAGCCTCTTTCAGCCACAGCTACCGCCACACGCTAAACCATGCCAGGAGGGGCGCTAAAGCCAAGCCATATATACTAGCCAAATGTCAATTATGTAGTCAGCTTATATTGAGACGAACCTTTGTCTAATAAAAAAAGTACAATTACTATATTTGTTGTATTTTACTTTATAAGATACTAACGTACTCAGGCATAGCCACGGGTACCAGCTAGTCATGAAACATCAATGTTTGTTACAGCTGCGTGGCCACCGGAAGGGCTGGAAGGCCAGTCGGCGGTGCGCGGTAGCACAGTAGACTACGCGGCGGCCCTGCTGCTTGCAGTGATGGCCGCCGTCCTTTTGGCTGCTGTGGGCTACCAGTGCGCCGCTACTTGGCGCTGGATTATGGGCAGGTAGATAATTTATAATTGGCCATGTGGTACCGGTATAGAATAGGCCATTCCCGTGGGTGTCGTAAGAGTCGATTAAGGGATGACGAAGGAAGGGCTGCAGTGTCACTTCTAAAACATATCTAAAGCCTGACTGCGGTTACCAACCTGCCTACCAAGTATGGTAACTAATGGCAAAACCCATATGAGCTCATGTGATGATGATAAAACAATTAGTGGATAAACATGTCTTTTTATCGCTAGCAAGTTGTAAGTAACTATAAAATATAATAAATGGGCACGATAGGACCGATATCTAAAGAAGGTAATTATTTCTTCAAAAAATTTAAACCAAAAAAAAAACTTGTGTGCCAAATTATCAAATTAGGTTAGGTAGTGTAACTTCAACCGAGAAGTCGATCGATGAATTCAACTCAGCTGGGCAGCATTTCGGAAACTACGCCACGTCTTACGCAGAATAAGTTAAAGTTTAAAGACGTCATGCCAGTGATGGTTTCGATATTGAAACATGTTTTTATACCGTTAGGTGTGCAGAAGTTCTAAGTTGCTTAGTGAATTATGAAGAATGTTATGTGCAGCTACTAGTTACTGGATTATGGGCAAATGACTACTCAATAAATTAACATATTTTTTCAGGGGGGAATGGGGAAGAATTACTGTATAAAGCGGCTTCACCCGCGTGAGTCATAAAGTATTCTATGTACTAAGTTACAATCAAACCTTTGTACCAAATGTCATTCAAATTTGCTCAGTAGTTTTTATCTGAAAGAGCAACTGATTTCCATCTATCTATTCGTTCGTCGTTACAAACTTTCACATTTGTAATATTAATAGGATTACTGTGGAAAATGAGTACAATATCGTTTCATTTGATTAATTTTCGTAATTCATTTGAGAGTTCTTCATCTTATTCTTATGGGATCATTAATATTTTCATTAATGTAATTCGGTTCTTCAACTTTATAAGATTTCGTAATTTTCTATTGATGACAAATTATTTTTAAGATGTTGGACTTGATTATACATTATTCTTAATATATTCACGACTGTAATTATTGATCGGATTTGCGTCACTGGAAGTTCTGTATATTTTTTAGTTGTTGGATGAAAATGGAATAAATAGTTCGTTAAAAAATCTCTATATTTTTTATCAGCGAGTGGTGATAAGTGAGGAGGAAGACAGATCAGTCCATTGGGATTATTACTGTTAATTAATCAGGGTGATTTCCTTTCGGAAATCCTCCACATGATCCCTCGTTTGGTTTCTTCTTTTTTATGATATTTAAAATAGCCAACAAACTGACGTCTCATCTGATGGAAAGTGGTAACTGTCGCCTAAGTACTATGGATATAACAGAGTATACTGTATCACCCATGACATCCCTTATATGAACAGCATTATGGATTCATGCGTCATCATTCCTGAGGACTACAATGCGATTCTTACCAAGGTTTATTTGACAGCGTATATTGCTAGTAAAGAGACTATTATATCCTTGCTTTCTCATCACACTAAAAAATGTAAAAAGATGTAGGTGCTAAAAATCGAAATATATCGTACTATTTCTTTACAGGACTAGACGGGAATCAGAGGATAGTAACTGTGATTCGTTGTCTCGTCAAGCAGCCATACGTATCAGCCACTCCCTGCCAGATTTACAGACTGAACCGTTGAAGCAAGAATATGTCCAGGAGCATAAAGATCAAGGGAAAAAGGTAATTTATTTATTTATTTATATAACTCTTTATTGCATCAGAAACATAAAAATATACAATAATGTAAAAACAATTCAAGTGAAATACAATAGCATAAAGTACAAATGAAAATATATACATAAATCTAATACGTAAATGTATAAAAACTAGTCTTATCGTTAAAGACAACCTTTGATTAAAGGAGAATATAGAAGTGGGTCGGTGGTGCACGAGTGAATTAATATTTTTACACATATAAAATACAAAAACCTATAATGCAAAAAAAAAACATCATAACTTAAGTTACCTAAGTATACCTGACAGAGACTACATGCAATGCAAGCATTGACTGACTGTGTTTTAGTTTGAAGGGCGGGATATAGAAGTAAAATCATAGGGTACAGGGGCACAATACCTTAGTTCTCAAAAGTAGTAACATTTATAATATAAATGTAATATGGAAATCACAGTGTATTCTGTGACACCCATGATGTTGTTCATGTTTATAGACAATAGTTACTACTTTCCATCAAGTATCATTTTAAGCATCTTAAAAGAAAATGCGTTATCTTTTTATTGTCTTTATTCGCCCAATATTTGTTTGTACGGGCCCTTGAATAAACCTTTGTTCTTCGTATTGGGCCTCGAGCTTTAAGTTTTTCCATTAGATACATATACGGATATAAAGGCTTTATTTCATATCAGCGGAGTTCTTATCGGTGCCGGCGGCGTGATGTGGTTTATAGCGGCCAATGTAAAAACCAGAGACTTCTTATAGGAAAATTTGTAGTAATATTCTTCACCGTAAGACAATGTCTACCGCAGATATTATTTTAAACATTGTTCCATGTAAGATGATATTTTTTTGTTTTATTACGAGAATTATATATTAAAAAATAACATTATGGAATAATTATAGACCTTGTTTAATGTGAGGGAGGACTCAAGAATTATAAAGGTTGATGAAGTAAAGGTACGACTATGTAAGGATTGAAACCTTTGGTACTATATACATACATACATATATATATATACACACACACACACACACACATATATATATATATATATATATATATATATATATATATATATATATATATATATATATATATATATATATATATATATATATATATATAACTTCTGAAAAATTATAAGAGAGTGTAAGATAGAAGGAAGCACGGGAAGGGAAAGTTGGTGTCGTATTGTATCAACAGGATAAAAGGCGAAGAGACGAAGAGTGTCTGTAGGTTAACCTTTTTTAAATGGTTTATGTACCATTTCAAGTGGTATAAAGAACAACTTTATTATCAAAGAACGAATAGAGGCAGCATTTTTTTACAGAAAAAAAATAACGTTTTATAATATTTACAAAGTAACGGAGATTAACAATTCAGAAAAATGTTGATACAGGCTCAGTAATACCTTATTCTAGTATCAGGTTTGATTCAGCGAAAGCTTTGAAAATTTAAGTATAATTTACCTGAATTTATCCGCCTTCGCCTCTTTCCGATCATTTTAATATTTTGCCGACGATGAATTCTTGGCAATATTCTTCAGTGTTATTTACCAAACTTTCGAGTAGTTAATCATTTCTTAGAACATTCTTGTTTATTATTTTATAACGTGGTACAGTGAAAATCAATCTCTCCGTTCAAAGAATTGACTTACCAATTTAATAATCCCTTATGAAACAATGAGAATTACTTCAGTTAATCTTTTTTCTATACATTTTTCCATAACAATAATAACCCATTAACGACTATGCTTAGTAGGAGAGGAATGATAATGGCCTAGTGTACTGTAGCCAGGCGGCTTAGTGTATTCCGAGTTTTTTTCTTGCCTTCGTGTGTACCTATATCCATTCGTACTCTCTTATGAGATTCTGGGGATGAATAAGAACATTTTGTTTCTCAATAAAAGAAAAATCGATTAGAATTCATTAGAGCTCGATCTGTGATCAATGATCAGCCTCTGTTTCTAAACGCAGAATCTTATGTTTTTGTAGATAGGTAGATCTTGTTTCGCAACGATCGGAATTTTTACTTAACATATTTCTTCTCTCATGATATGGGATTATGTATATCTTAATGCAATTTCATAAATGACAGGATAATAAATTTCACATAATGTACGAACAACAACAGAATGCTTTCAAAGAGTATGTATTGATAAACACCGGTCGCACTTTTTGGTTAGTAAACATTTTTTGCTGACATCTTTTAAATAGATCTTAGATTTTCTAAGAAACCCAAGTATCGTATTATGAAGATGTTTGTTTTTGAACTTGAACTTTTATAATTTGTGTTTTCGATGGAAAAATAAATGGGTAAAATGTGTAAATATTATGTTACTGATCTGTATTTCTAGGAATTGTAACCCAGACGTCGGTGTCTACAATATACGAGTATAAAAATATTTCTTTTCTTAAAGGTACAAAGATTTTATCGTTTATATATTCTCATGTTGGATTAGCAGTTATATTTTCAATAGACATTTTTTATATACCAGTGACAGAATCTTGTGTAATACGTCTCTCGGTAAGCAGGTAGGAATCATAGGCTATATACGAAAATATTGATAAATGCTAAGTCTACATTTGAAATTTTACAAGTCGGCATATTTTTGCTGCAATAATTAGTGTTTTTCAATAATGACCAAACTAATATTGACTAGAAGTTTAAGTAATTTGGAAAGGGTAGGGAAGTTTGATGGGTGAGAATGGAATTAATTTTAAATATATTTCTTATGTGTACGCAATGTTTGAATAGATTTTAATGATTCTTTATTGATCACATTACGAAAAAACCATCATTGTCATTATCATCATATCAGCCATTATATGTCCAATACTGAACATAGGCTTTTCCCATACACTGCCATAAGAAACGTTTCTGAGCCACCTCCATCCACTAACTTCTTGCAATGTATCAATACAAAAAATGTTTGGTATAATACGCGGATAGATTGATTACACTAATTTTGCCGGTTTTGTTGTAGAAAAAAATCTTCAATAAATCAAATAAAGAAACTAAAAAAGACTTATCCTTGATAGGATATTCAGAGGCATTTCTCGAGTGTTACCATTGTGTTGTATGTTACACTCGTATGTTATTCTCGTAAGCTGTCGATATCTTATGTAGTATTTACATTTCTGAATATTCTCAATCCAACGACATAATCGTACATGTAAAGATTTACTTTGTAACATTTATATTCCTCGCATATCGTAAATCTAGATAATCTATCCAGCCATTTTCACAAACTTTCACGTTTATAATCCTTATACCTAGTGTAATAACTAGTAGATAACAAGTTCGCGAGTTTTAGGCACTTTATATTCAATAGATAGTTAAACGGTGGCTTTTTAGGGTTTCATTTTGTATGTATGTCTCTTTTTACGCAACTTTAAAAGGTAAACAAGTGGAATGTGGTAACCGTCGCTCAGGGCCGTAGCTAGGCCCAAGTTTAAGGTAGGCCAAAAGAACTTTTTAGTAAGGCAGAAGCCGTAATTAAGTCACTGCGAAAAAGCGAATCTGTCTAATTTTCTTGGGGCGGGGGGAGGGATTGTTAATAATTCCACTAAGGGCCCGATTGCTAGCAATATACCCAAGCAGGTCGACCTCCACGTGGTCCCCCCTGGAAACCATCGTGTCGAATTCCAAGTGTATTCATCACGATGAGCTAACTGACCTGTCTTTTCATCCTCACCTATCATTTCTCACTGATGCCCCGCCAGTGTATACCGATAACACAGGCGGAGTTACCATTCCATTATCATCTATTAAAAAAAAATTGTCTTGGGGCCTTTCATTTTAAGGTAGGGCATTGATCATCAATTCTGTTCAATAGGCCTGTATCTATCCACTGCTGGATATAGGCCTTCCCCAATGTCTTTTGTTACGGGAAATATTGATACGACGAGTTTGATAGTGACGTATAACAGATTTCTAACTTTATTAGTCATTTGTAATATTTATTTTACAAAGGGCGAAGCAATAAACTGAGTTGTGGCCATTTTGTATTGCTAAGGCACACTCACAAGCGAAAGTTGTATTTGGCTTTGTGTATTTTTTTTTGACATTTTTGTTATCCTGCTTTTCTTTTTGTGTATGTATGTTGTAATTTGTGTGCTGTAAGTAATGCAAATAAATTATCTATCTATCTATCTATTTATCATCATCATCATCATCATTTCAGTCATTATGCGTCCACTGCTGGACATAGGTTTCCCCCATAGACCGCCGTAAGGAACGGTCTTGAGTTACCTATATCTACTGACTCTGTAATACATTTGAAATCGTCTTTTGTCAATATTATCAGAAAAAATGATCTTATATACTATATATAAATAAAGTAAATTAAGATACGACTGGTGGGGCGACACATAAAGCTCGAACAATGCTGTGCCGTGCAGTGCTAAATTAGCAATTATTAAACCTCTTAATTAATTAACTATTTTCTTACTACACTACTTGCATAAATATAGAGGTAATTCCATACATTTCAATATGTGTGATCCTCCGCTTTTCACACTTTGGTCACATATTATTGATACTTTCACTGGGGAGTTTATACTTATATGTTATCACGTCGGACAAACGCAGCGATGACTGGAATTTTTGGGAAGATTTTTGAATAGATTTTTTGAAGGAGTTTAAGAGAGTTTAAGTTTGAGGTTATGGTCATCGGGAGCTCGTACCCGTATTCATCAGAAAGGTGAATCCACTGAAGAATATGTCTATATTGTAGCCAATATAGATATAATATTATATTCATAAAAATACTTGTACTTCACTTCATTGTCTGTATTAAATTTCTTTTTACTATTTATATTTGCGACCGGTTTCGAAACTTATTCTTCAGGTGTATTTTATAATGTAACGGTATAAGTGGGTACTTCTAAAAATATTACAGAGTAATATGCTAAATAGAGACATCACGAGCGAATGGTAGAACAGTAGTATACTTGTCACAGTGTAAAATGTAAGAGTTCAAACAACCTGCAGATGATGTTT